TGCTGAATGTCCATTTCTATTACTGATTGCGGTGTTCAGAGTGTACAAAAACATTACTAAAACAGCCCATAAACTTTTACTCTTGCCAAGTTGATCTCACACATTGCCCTAATTTCAGCTGCCAGCTCATATTATGATCTAACAGTTTGCTCTCAGCAAAAGGAAAATACACAAATATGAAAATTATTTTCCAGGATGACGAAGTGTTTTTCTAGGACACTACAATTTATCTGAATTTTTATGACTTTTCTATGACTGGAAAGCTGGTTTTAAAGAATCCTGGTTTTCCAGGATGCATGGGAACTCTGTATAATGCAAGAAGTTGGGAGTAGACTGCTTCAGAAAGGCTGTTATAAATAATGAAACCTTTCTCACACCCACTACAAATTTTCGCGCTGTGGCCCCGATAATATTAGCGCCACTGGTGCTGTCTCCGACCTCCCCCGGGTTTCCATCTGCCTGTTTGAGCCGCAGAGCTAATTATAACCAGCTGCTGACACAAATGCTTGAGTAATTAGGTGAAAGGTATTAATAGCGGGTTTCTACGTGCGCGGATTTATTACTTAACGTTAGTGTCATTAGAAAACCAGCTAAACTTCTCAGCTGACAGTCAAAGATCGTCTATATCTGTGAAAGTCACTCGTGTAAAACAATCTCAGACTGTTTTTCAAGGTAGTAACAATACAATAATTTAAGCTCCTCTAAAAAGTGAAGATGGTTATTAATCATTAAGATGTGATTAAAATGACCGAAGTAATGTCAAACCAATGTCAAACCATCACATTTTCACATTGTAATGGACATGGATTGGTTATATTTTTAAATGAAAAAATGTATCATTCTCCATCTGTGTGATATAACACTTTGGAAGTGAGTTAATTGCTTTTGTCACGTAAATTTTAGCTTCTGGTTTTATCCGTAATACTTGTCTGTGTCAATTGCTCCAGATAATTAACCCCAAAACTACTGACCAACTTTTCCCGTCCCATTTCTGGTCCTGTACTCGAAAATAGCTGCAGGGTGAAACGTCTTTGTTTTCCTACTCTGCCACAGGCTTGAACGGAGCGCGGCGGTTGCCCCGCCAACACAACTCTGGGGGCGTGGTCGTTGTTCACACCCATTGGTAGACACTGACGAGCATACCAGAGTCCAACAATGCTGATTGGCTGAAGCAGCTTGACGCTTCCTAACACCTGGGCGATGATTGGCTGGAGTGATCCAGATGCCTAAGAGCGCCAGAAAAGGAGCTTGAGCGGGTGATGTTGAAGTCTCCTCGGTACAGTACATGGTGTCCGCTGCCAGGGTAGCCGTTTCTGAAACGTGTAGGTACAGGCTGATTGCCCGCTTATTTCAGAGAGTGAAATTAGTTGCTATGTTGGTCTAAAAAAAAACCTTAGCGCTGACCAGTCTGTCATATCGGACAGAGTTATACTGCTGTATTCATTCATTCATTCATTGAACAGCAGAGAAAGGTAAGGAATGTTGCTTTCCCTCCAGTGGTTTGTCGCTTGCCGTGTAGCTTAACAGCAAGTTATGATGTTTGTGTCATTTGAGCTAGTCATGTTAGCCCGGTAGCTAATTAAAGCCAAATTAGCCATAGTGGAGATAAATGAGTCGCCTCAGTATATTTGTTGTTTCTCATGGGCTCAGCCATACTTACGTTTTTATGCTAATTTGGACTAGTTTTAGTGAATTTGCCTTTTACTAAGTGAATAACGCTAACGCTGTTACATCCTATATCAACGTTATTAATTATCGTCATAAAGCAATACACTCACCCATGAACTTGCTAAATCAGCTGCAGTTGAACAGGTTACTTCATGTTAGCGATGAATCCAACTGTTAAATAGGGAGATTGGTAGCTAGGTTCCAGCTGTTAGCTTGCTGAGGGCTAGTTAACGTTAGGTGATGTTCTTTGCGCCAATTTCAGCTGCTCACTCGTCGGGGTTTTCTGTAAATTATTGGCTGAAACGTCCTTAGCTTAACTATCACCCCGCTAAGATATTGGTCAGGTAATTTATTTATGATTTTATAGATACAGCTTTACGTTTTGGACTGCAGCTTTTCCAGATGGAAGTTGAATGTCTGTCACTGAAAGACCTCACAAGTCCAAGGAAAAGTTTCATGGTGGGGCCAGTGGAGGATGGGGGCCAAAGTGAACAAAAGGTAAGGGGGACTACAGCTTGATCTAAGGTGTGGTAAGCAGTAACGTTATAACTGTTAGCAGGATAGACATGAGACAACAGAAGGAGAGCTGCAGAATCAGATTAACAGGTTTGCATATACTTTGTATTATAATGGTGCTTTGCAATGTCACATTTTTCTCCACACAAACCAGTTCTAAGCCTTAAGCCTCTGAAATATGCCCAGTATGTACACAAGTGAAACCTTAACTAAGCATTTGTAACACTGCAGAATCAGGCAAAGACCCTCTAATACAATCACAAAACTGTCTCCAACACAGGAAAACATCTGTACAGAAAGGAGAAGATCCACACCACTGAAATCTGCTGAGTCCATCATCCCTGCTTTGCTGATAAACAGAAATGGCGTCACCGCTGACTTGACCCACATCACCCCCATCAAACACACAGCTCTGGCTGAGCCCTGGACACCCACAGCCAATCTGAAGATGTTGATCAGCGCGGCGAGTCCAGACATTAGAGACAGAGAGATGAAAAAAATGCTGTTTAGACCCATAGAGAATGAGAAGGATAAGACCCCAAGTCCAGATACTGTGGTGGAGAATATGGAGGTGGAAGATTCTTGCCAGGTATGTGAAATGCAAAATTTTAGCTCCTGACAAAAAGGCTAAGACTGAAACTATATTATCAAAAACATGGTTACAAAGATTACTAAAGGAATCCAGAAATCTCAAGTCCACAGAATAACACTTTACTCATATCAACAGCTGATAGGGAGTTTTCTAAAGCACAAGTGGAATTCAGGTGCTGAGCTGGGATGTGTTACTTTAGCTTAGGGCTGTGCAATTAATCAAATTTTCAATTTTGATTTCGGGGCTCAACGATCACAAAAATGGTGTAATCGAGAAAAAATGATTATTCCGTTTTTTAAAGTTATTTTAGCCTTCATTCGCGCATCCGCACTTTCTCTTTTGCCCTTCCCCCTTGCGTATGTCGTATCTGATCGCATTTAAAAATCAGCGCGAGGGAAGATGGCAGAAAAAGAGCAGCCACAGAAGTCTTTGGTCAACAAAAAAGGTAAAAGAAATTCTGTTGTCTGGGAACATTTTGCATTCGAAGAAGCGGACATGGATCAAAAACATAGTATATGCAAGATTTGCTACGCGGTTGTGTCGGCACCGGCTGGTAACACCACAAATCTTTTCAACCATTTAAAATTCAAACACAGACCGACATATGACCAACTAATAAACAAACAGAAAGAAGGACAAACATCCTCCGCAACACAGTCGTCAATTAAAGACTCACTGAAGTGGTGGAAGGAATCTCGGAGAATCTATCCACGGCTTTCCAACCTGGCAAGGAAATATCTTTGTATTCCAGCCACTAGTTCTTCATCAGAGCGAGTCTTTAGCACTGGCGGAAATATTGTCTCCTGCTTGCGTTCATCACTGAAACCAGATCATGTGAATAGGCTGGTGTTTCTGGCTAAAAACCTTTAAGGTTTAGATCTGTAACCCTATCAGCATTTTGGCCATGTTGAAACATGTTTACTTAGACTAAAGTTGAAGTTAAACTTATTTTCCGTTAGTTCTAAGCCATGGTGTGCCAGCCTTAAAATATTATTGGACTGAGTTACTGGCTGGAATTTTATTGTTAATTATGTTTAAAATGTAGAATGTTGTAAAATGTTTAGAATTTTTCAGTTTGAGGCACATACATGAGCAAACTTATTTTGTTCTAATTTATTTATTATTTTATTTATTACTTGTTTTTTAAAAAAGTTGTGGAAGTGCACTACATTGTTGGTCTTGTTTGCCTTTATCTGTTTTATCTGTTTATACATACAGCCCTACTTTAGCTGATGAAAATTGTTCTAAATTGGCAGTAAAATAATCAGAGGTAATGCCTATTTCTGTATGTGTCCATTTATCCAGTTTGAAGCTGTTGATGAAGAGGATGATGTAGAGAAAAAGCCAAGCCGGAAGCAGAAGAGTCTGGGTCTACTGTGCCAAAAGTTCCTGGCCCTCTACCCTGATTACCCAGATCCACAAAGTCCCATCTGGATCTCATTGGATGAGGTGGCAACCAGTCTGGGTAAGAGCCAGTACATTTGACAAGGGAGATACATCTATGACTTGACTAGTCCCAGCTTGTGACTGTGCTGTTATTGAAAACAGTACATTTTTTATTTTGTTGGATTTAGGTGCAGTTGATATCTGTGTTGTGCTTGTTACTTAAAAAATGTAATATATTACTCATTACTCTTTTAAAAGTTAATATTATTACTTTACTTATTACTCCCTGTCAAAAGTAACTCACTACTCGTTATATTACTTTTCCTTTAAACCCCACAGACTGGTAATGGGGGGGGGGGTTTACCTGGGGGTCCGCTGCCCGTGACCAGTATTTTTCTAAGGATCTGTTGCAATGGACAACATTTCATCCCCCCACCTATCCAGCCACAAGCTTCTTTAGTTCTTTGTTGCTTGTTGTAGCCTGCTGTTGATGATTAAAATCCAGTTTTGGTTGTTTAGCCATTGAAGGGCTACAGCCATCCTCCGTAGCCGCAGAGGGCTCATCTATGTTGGAGTGTATCTCCATAAGCTTCACATTGCTTTGCTGTCTTAATAAGTGTTTCAAGAGGTTTGAGGTCATATTTTTCACAGTGGAAAGAGTCTTATCACTGCCTGCACACAACTTACATTTTACAGTAATGTCCTTATCACCTTTCATCCCAATAAAATCACTGAATGCAGGCACTTCCATCTTCTAAGCTAGCTTATTGCTTATGGTGCTGCTAAATGACATGTAGTGATGTGTGCACATGCGACAACTACGGATATTCACTGTCGGATTTCAGATCAATATTTGCTAGGGTGACAACAAAAGTAATGTTGTAACAAGTTGTTTTTGGAGGGAGTACCTGTAATATTATTACTGAAATTTTATTTACAACTTTTTACAGCAGTACTATTACAGTTACGGCCCAACACTGGTTGATAAGTAGACCTCCTTTTTCATTCAAACATGATATAACTGTACTTAATGGAGAGGTGCTGTGCAGCAATTTGAACTTTGGTTCATTTTAATCAAAACTCTGACCCTTTGCTTAGTTTTTGTTTAGATATAAGCCCATATTATTTTGAAAATGGTGGGTTCATTTCTCTTCTCTCGCACTTGCATCGTCAGGAGTGGAGCGGCGACGTATCTACGACATCGTTAATGTGCTGGAGTCTCTCATGATTGTGGGCAGGATAGCCAAAAACAGCTACACCTGGTATGGTCGCCAGCGGCTGGGCCCCACTCTGGAAGAGCTGCAACAAAGGGGATGGCAGCAGGGCTACCACCTCCAGATGGAGGTGGCCACCGAGACCAGAATCACCAGACCAGGGCGTGAGGATGACGTGGGCTGTGGTAATTAACTTAGAATAAAGGCTGTGATGATAAAAGATTCTGAAACCTTTAGACAAAAGATTCTGCAAGGCCCTTTTGTCTCATTTTCGTCTAGCGCTGTCACAGCCTTAAATGCTGGTTGCTTTAATGGTGGCGATAAAGGACCTGAAGGTTTATTGTTGCACATACAGGATAAGAGCAGCAGTTAAATGCCTTATATGCTAAAATTTAGGTGTGGGTTTCATCTCAGAAGCATCTGCCAGCAAATGAACACTACAGCCTTAACTCCCTACGATTAATGAATACAAGTCTGGGTTCGATAGCGGTTCTGCGTCCCCATACATACAGGTGCACACACAGCTTTTCATTAAGAGGATGTGTGTTGACTTGGCAATGTGGCTGGATAATAATAGCACTCATGACAAAGAGGTAGCCTGGTGACAAACAGATAAATGGTATTGTCGTTGGTTGAATGTGATGACTATAAAATAGTATTTGTAACTGTTGTAAAGGCCACTAAAAAACACCTACAATGGAAAAGGTGTTATTACAGCATCTTTCTAATTTGCAATAAATAAAAGTCCTAATGTCAGGCCAATTCACACAACAGTTAGAGCTGTGAGAAATCAGATAGTGGTGTTTTATATTTATAGTCGTGACACTGTCATCACTGCCACTACTGTGTTGCTTTGCTTGTGAAAGCGGAAAATCAGGACTTCTATGTGTTAACACCAGTAGTGTTTGCATTTCATAGATAAAATGTGTTTAGTATCCCAAGTATGTGAATGCTAAAATCATCTTTAAGATGTAATCATGTAGAAATATTAATGTTTTGGGGTGGGGGTGGGGTGGTTGTTACAATATGCGTTAGCTACGTTAGCAATTTCGTTACTGACGAAATTTTCGTCAATTCTGCCATCTCTATCGTTACCACTGACAAGAATTGCTCCCCCACAAAGTTATAGACCACTTCATATATTCTTTGTGGAGGATAAAGTTATCAGTGGCTGTAGCTACTGCCCTGAGTCAGTGATTAGCTTGGTGATGCTGCCAATCACACAGACATTCATCCAAAAGCTGGTTGTTGGTTGACAGGTTATTCCTGTTGCCAAGTCACCTCTCTGTTATTTTTCAGTGACTATAACTCATCATTGTTTTTAACTTTCATTCTGATATGTCACCTTTTGACATTCATTCAGCTTAGATGCTCCACAAAAACACATATGCAATGCGTTTAAGCCTTTCTATGGTAGTGAAAGCCCTGGAATGAAAGAATGACAGATATTTGAATTTGGAAGTTCATTATAAATGGAAGCAATCATGGTATCTCTTATTGATGTTAGTGTTTCACAAATAATAATTCTATTGCTTGCTGCTGTAATGATTCAGATTTCTATAGTGGATTAAGGTTTGTCTTTTAAATGAAGTAACAAGTTCTCTGACTGCTAAGGTTTGACTGAAAGCTCTATTACTAGTTTGATACACTGTATGTACCTATGATGTTTGCAGCCGGCGTCAACAGGAGAGACAAATCTCTGCGCATCATGAGCCAGAAGTTTGTCATGTTGTTCCTGGTCTCCAAAACCCAGACTGTTACTCTGGATGTAGCAGCAAAGATCCTCATCGAGGAGAGTCACGACTCATCGAGCCACAGCAAGTACAAAAGTAAGAAATCCAGCACAGGTGTTGTGTGTGCATTCAAGGCATGACTTTTCATGGTAACATTAGCTGTCCAGAAGTTCAAATGCTGACATAAATAAGATGCCAAGTTTCACTTCAAGATGAGACTTGCATCACCCACATGGTAACAAAATCTGTTTCCTTTGTTTTATCAAAATTAAACACTGTCCCTGTGTTTCTAGCTAAGGTGCGACGACTGTACGATATCGCCAATATTCTGACTAGCCTTGGCCTCATAAAGAAGGTGCGTGAGGAGAGAGGCAGGAAGCCAGCTTTTAAGTGGCTCGGTCCAGTCAAATTCAACAACTCTGGAAATGCTGGTAAGAATTAACAGACAAGACTTAAACATGTTTTGTTATGAATCTACTAAAAGGTCACAACAAAAAGGAGGGAGATGCACTACTAGAGTAAAAACGTTTAAATTCTATTTTTTAAATTAATTATAAAAAGGCAAACATGAGGTGTGGAAGTCAGTATCAGTAATGCAAGAGATGAATGAATGTATTAATATATGTAAGGTGCATATTGTACCTGCACTTTCAGTCACTTATCATTTGTCCAGTCAGACCAATTATAAATGCATTTGTCATTACTGCTCTCATACCACCTCAGACCATAACTATCTCACTGTCATTATCATCTATAGCGAATACGGTGAATGTGGTGCCTGTCACGCCGCCTGAGGCCTCGCAGTCAATGGCAGGCCAGGACCTCAGAAAATCCAAGCTGGCACGTCACGCTTCCTTCAACATCACACCAACCTCTGTAGTCGTCAAACGGCAGATCAGCTCTGCCCCCAGCAGCCCACAAAGAGAACTAATGGGTAAGAGAGACAGAATTTACTTGAGTCAACAATGGAACATTTTTATATTGTCTTCCCTGTTTGATTAAATCACAATTCTTCACATCAGGTCTGCAGAACCAGCCTGTGGATTATTCCAGAAAGCCTACAAACAACAGCGCAGTGTGTCGACTGCAGTTTGGAAACAGGACTGAGTGAGTTTATGCTAACACACATACACACACAGAGATACACACTCTCTTGGTTTAGCTTTAGGCTACATATAACAGGAGTGGACTGCTGTGGATATGAATAGTTATTGTCTCCTGTGAATGTGTTGGCTTCCTCAGATACAGCACAAAGTAATTAGTTATTATTATAGGTGGTCTGATTGTGGCCAAACCCCATCTGCCCCAAGGCTGTGTCTGTTTTAAGTGTTTTTGGTGGAGTGAGATAATAGGACATGGAATTGTGTGTTGAAAAGGGATATTTTACATGTGAAGTGGAGGAAAAATCCAGTGAGGGCAGTAGTAGCCCACGGGACAACAGTTGGAGGCTTATAGGTAGGATATAGCTAGTTAGAAGTCTGCACATCAGCAAGAGAAATCAGAAGAATCAGTCCCAGGGGGGTTAGGAACCATTTTAAAAGCTTTACTTGTGTTTCAGTTGTTGGAAACAGGGACTTTTGCTGGTTGGTCATATACACAGCTCACTCCATTTTGCATACGGTTTCATTCACACAATAAGGAAGTACTGGGTGCTACTGGTATCACTTCCTAGACAAGTGTCAGATATGTCCTGCCATGCTGATTGTCATTAAGACATTAGAGCACAGGCAAACAGAGAACTTAATTTGCCAATTCTTTCATCACAGTTACACACTAAGGCAGAAAGACATACCAATCAAATTGCCTACTTTGCAAAGAGATTTTCTGGAGTTTTCTGTTGCTCTTTTCTCCTCTGTCTCCTTTAAGTCCAATCATTACATCCATTTAATGTTGCACCACAGTAAATACAGAGACCATGTGACTCTGTTCTGGTTTCCTCAAGTGCAAAATAGTGTCGTTTTGGTAAAGTCAAATATGAGGAAGTAGTATGCATCTTGATTCAGTGTGTGGGGTTAAATAAAATCCACTATTGTCCAATGTCTGTCCTTTCCTGTCAGGTCCAAGCTGGGAATTAAAACTTTCTTAATTCTTTTCAGTGACCAAACTGCCACCCACAGCAGCCCACTGCCTCTGTCCTCCACCCAGCCCACCATTCTTTCACCTCCCCTCCACCCCGAGCACCTCTTCACCTCTTCCTCCTCTCCCCCCTGCTTGGCCTACCTGCCCAGCCTGTCCCAGCCCTCGGTGGTCATGCTGTACAGGACGCCAGACAAGCCTGACCCAATGCCTGATGGTCAGAGATCACATGGGTTGGCATCTGAGGAGGGGAAGAAAAGAGGGAGAGAAGAAAGGGAAGAGGAGACAGCAGTGAAAAAGAAGAGAACATCTGGGTTAGACGAATGTGACAAGGTGAGGTGGGGGGGCATGTGCCCATATATTTACAACTTTTATAGACAATAAATCTGATAACAGATATAATTCACCACCACTAAAACCATTTCGGTTCAGTGCAGTGATACGATTGCATGATGTTGTGCTGTTAGTAATTCAGGATACAAGACCATAAAATTAACAATATGAACTACCACTTATGAGGAAAAGTCATCAGTGACTCATATTAGTGATGTATAGAATATTTTATAATTGAAAAACCCTAGGAATTAATCCGGATGTATGATTGTAGTAATTAGAAAAGTCTCATTTATCATAATAAGATGGGCTTTTACAGAGGTAGATTAAGAGAGTAGACTTTAAGAGTTTTACATCAGGAAAATTACTTGGCAGAAGTGAAGTCCAGTGTTATTAGATGGGGGTGAGTTTTAATCAGTGTATGGATTCAAGTTGCTGACCCATAAACTGCAATCCATTGTGATATAAAATGTTGTCTGAAAAAAGCCAAACGTCTGAGTCACGTGGACACATCAATAAAATGATTGGTTTCTCTATTTTAAGTTTTCATCGTCCAGTCCAGGTGAATTTTTTCCTCATGTTTTTCCTTCCAGATGAGAGCTGAACCTCACAGGGAAGCCAGGGAGCACTCGCAGACGGGTACCATTCAGACTTCTCTGAATCACCCAGCAGGCCTCCCCCGAGCGTTCAGTGAGAGTTTAGGTGGCAGCAGAAGCAGCGAGCCTGCCCAGCTGTCACACTACCTCTATGTACCCAACAGTGCAGGTATATTTGGCTTTCTGAGAGCCCCAGTGGGGTAGCCCCTAGAAAAACGTCCCTAGAACTGTTTGGTCCAAAAGCTTCTAGTATTACAAAAAAAAACCTGTAGTGATGGGTTCCTATGGTCATAAAACCCAGCAAGGAACATTATTTAGAAATTATTAAAGTCCCCGTGGCGTGCTGATTTTGCTCGTTTCCAGCTATTTAATGTTTAATCTTGGGTACCTCTAGTCTAGATTGGCTTGGCAGCCCTAATAACTCCACATAGTTGCTAATTATTTCAGAATGATGAAACCAGAGAGCCTCTTCTTAAAAATGAGAGGATAGTTCGTGAATGCGCACAACCCCTGTCGCCGCTGTTGTCACAAATGGACAGCACAACAAACCTCAACGGCATTAATTCATTTGAATTCCTCCTCCATAGATAGTTAAATAACAGTATAGGTACCACGGAAAAGAGATGTGTAACACTCTAAACAAAGCGGGTAATTAAGAAACCATATATTTTAACTGACATAGTAGCTTCTCCAGCCTTACAACAGTTCTAACGTTACAGAAACAAGGCAATAACAGGCATGCACTACAGGCCTTACCTGACAGTTCTTGGACCTTTTTATTTTTCCAGGGGTAGATTTATGCCCTGGAACCAAATCTAGGCCCCACTTCCTCCACTGGAAGTACATGTAGAGGGACTAAGTTCCACAAAAGGTTGCTGTTCCCCAGGGGAAAGTTCCTTTGGTGGAAATGGGGCTGTAGTTGCCCTTGGGAAAATTCTTGAAAATGTAACACTACTAAATTCAGTTTTATTTTTGGAGTAATTTGAACATTGTCACTAGATAAGCCACTTGTGTTTCAATGACCCATAGGGTTATGTGACCAGGGCAAATTGTACATTTTAGGTAAAAGTGTTTGAAGCCATTTCTGCATTCTGTAGGTCCTTAAAAAGTAAAAAACAATAATCTCAAATTTCAGCCTTAAATGGTATTTAAAACATCTTATTACCAATTAAAACTTTGAACAGAATTTGAGACCTAAGATCCAACATCTATAATTCTGTCACCTGTAATTACCTTTCTGAACCACAATTCACTATTTGATAAAAATGTAGGAATTTCAATCTGTTTATTTTATAATTAATTTGTCATTGCATGTTTGTGACAGCCTGTGAAGTCAGTCAGAGCGCTGCACAATCTGTGCACTGCTGTCACTCACTACAAGTGGAGGATCAGTGGAAATAGTACGACTCACCTGTTTAAGTTACATTTAGACTAAACGTTAGACATAATTAAGGGTGTGGCTGCTTTGAGTCCCACCATAGGTGGCTGGCTGTCTAGAGGGCTCCACTCACACTCCACCTTTACCTATTTTTGGATTAGACCTAGCAGGCAGAGTGTAATGCTACCAGTATGGCTACGGCCAGACTTGAGCCTCAAAACCATCCTTCAGAAAACCAGTGGGTGACATCATGATAGGTTTGTCTATCTTTTATATAGTCAGTGATGTTAACATAGGCTGGTAGATGCTTCTTTAAGCCATGAATGTAAAAATATATTTCAGTTTGTTACAGAGTGTGTAAAAACTTTGTTCAAACTTCTTTGGGGGGATTAGCACCCTGGAAATAGGCTTTAAATTGCCTTCAAAGTGGTCTCGAGACAGTCTTAAAAAGCTTTAGATTTAACTTGAGAAAACATACAGAAACCCTGTAAGAGCATTTAAGTCACTGTGTCTTGGTATTTTTAGTAAGCAGAGCAAAAATTCCTCCGTTTTTAAAGTTTCAACCCTGGGAGTGCAAGAAATGTGCCATTCTTTCTTCTACCCAGTCAGTTTTCTTAGTCTGTGATGGAGTTACAAATACAGTGTGCTTTGTTTTAATGGTCACGGGCCAAACATTGCAGCACCACATCAGAATCTGCTTTGATGTGGCATGTCTTCAGCTGGGATTTTGTTTGAGTGCTTAACATGATGATATAATCAATATACTTGATTTCTGTTTCAGTAGAGCTCAGGTGAATTCTATTTCTTCACAAGTTTTAATCACTATAAGTGTGTTCTGTCATCTCCAGGTCTGAACAGCCTTGGCTTACTCCTCTCTGCTGGCCAGCCACCAGCCAGTCTAGCAGTTCCTCCCAGCAGCGTTCCCACCCTACTGCCCTATGTCCTGGTGCCCTCAGCTGCCCTCTCCCACTACCCCCTGATGGCCGGCAGCTTACAACAGCAAGGCTCCGACACTCCCACCAATCTCAGCTTCAGTGTGCCTGCTGTGATGTCACCTGTCCACTTTACGATGGGTGCAGCACCTTATAGCCTGACCGCAGCATCAGAGATCAGCTGGTCGCCAGCTTCATCGCCATCCACGCCAGAGCAGAGCAGGATGTATGGGTCAGAGGCAGGCATACCACATTCACCCTCAGGACCACGCCAGACTGTCAGTATCAACATACCAGAACCACTGGTAAGAATATCAAATCACTGATCGGTGCTTCTGTTAACTTCCTTCTTTTTCGCTTGCAAAATGCCACAACACCGCCTGATATGAGAGCAGGTGCAGCATCTGTTTTCTCATCAAGAAACTTACTCTGTGTCTCAGTGGCTGAAGTTGATTAGTCTCCAGGTCATTAAATAGGAATTCATGTTTCTCTCTACATAGCTCTCTGGCATTGATCTTCTCAGACAGAGTCATTGTTAGGGGGCCAGCATAATGCAGCATTATAAACAATAGGACAAGTCAGTGACCGTGTTCTAATGAGGCATAAATCATGGGGCTCCACTCACTCCCACCCACTATCACATTTAAATGGGAGGAGTGATGCATATACAATGCATGGAAATAACACAGTTCTAACAAAATAGATCCAGTCAAGATATTCACTGTGATTACTCCTCAAGCAAATTAAATCTCTGTAAGTTGAACTGATATTAATAGGAGTCCACATTTTAGTATCCTGACAAACAGTAACATGATGCAGTGTGAATGTTTCTGTGAATCTCCGGACTTACCTCATTTTCTCCTTCCACAGACTCCACATACCCCAAAGGATTCCACAGCGTCTGCTTCTAAGGCTTTCTTCCAGACCCCGGGCACGCTGGGAAGTGTAGTCAGCTCTGCCCCAGCTGCACGAAAAAGAGGCTCTGCACAAAGAAGACTGGATGTTGGCCACCCGCCCACCAGTTAGATGCTGTATCTGAGGAGAGGCAACAAGTGGCAAAGATGCTCTTTTAACACTCAGGTGTTGGTCTTAAAAGTGAAAAGTATGGTTTTAAACTATTGGTGCTTTTTTTTTTTCTTTTTAGTTTATTAATTAATAAATTAATAGTTTCCTTCCTAAATTAAAGAATATAAATTTTAGCATGAGACTTTTCTGAAGTTTAAAACTTACTTTTTTGGAAAGCATAGATTTTAGAGTATCATATTTTGTTAATGACTGTAAACCTATTTGCCAAGAGATCTAAGTTTGAAATGAAACCCCCCAGTTACTGGTTATTCATACAGTTCATATGTGCCTCATGGTTCGATTATGGGACACTACATTTCAGAGTAAACAAGTGAAGTGATGTAACAGTGCCCTTCTGTGGTGTAAGTCGGCCACTGCTGTGTTTTGCATTTCAGCCTTAATTTTCCCTCCCAGATGTGATCAAACTACCTATTCCCCCATCACTTGTGTATTATACCCTCATTGCTATTTATATTTTAGCTAATATATGTTGATTACATGAACTGTAATGGAACATTAACCTTTTTTTAGCACTAAGCATCTGACGAATGTATATCTAATTCTGAAGTGATTGTCTTTAGTTGGCCCCTTCAGGTTTCCTTAGATTATCAAAGTATAATAGAAAATGTATGAGCTGCTGAGTAGTGGTTTACATTGACAGCAGCAGATAGTCCTCTCTTGGCTCATTTCAGATATTACTGTGAGGAGAAAAGTCACTAAAGCCTTAAATGTTTACAAACAGCCAGGTATCTCAAGGAACAGTTCTGTGACTTCTGCACATCTGATGCATTAATTTGCTCTTCAGGAAGACAAATACAACGTGTGCTCTGTGTGTTTTCATAGAGAATTTGCAATGATAATACTTTATGGTTAAATGCTAAACCCTTTAGCTTTGTTACCGACAAATAAAGGACAATGTGATATGGGACAATGCTCTCAGGTACTTGAATGACTTTGGGGATTCTGGAGTGATATCGGAGTACTGTAAAGGTTTTATCCTTTATTGATCCAGGGAAAGTAGACTTAGCAACACCATTCCACCTTCATACAGTCCAACACATTTGGGAGGTTCCCAGTGGGACTGCAGTCTGTTACCTGGTGCAGTTAAGGGTTAAGTGCCTTGCTCAAAGGCACAGAGAAGAAAGATATTTTTTTATCACCAGATTGTCTCAGGGTGTCCAGGAATTTGTATTGACAGTTCTCTGGTAATGAACCCACTAACTTGCCTTAAGACAACCCAGCTACAATATTAGTGCTTTGCATAGGAGTCATTCAGAAGAGCTTAGCTATGTCATGCCAAAGGGTGCACGGATAATTCACCAGTGCATGTGTAGTCAATGTAAAGTTAATGCAGTTATATCAGTAATTATTTTTGTACATTGCATTCATAGTGTCAATATTTTCACATGCAGAATGTTACATTTTACTGTATTGTTTGTAAAATAATGATAATTGCACTGCTAGTTTTAGTAGTTGTGTCTAACTTTTACAGAACTTTGAGCCGTTGCTTCACTAGCTCTGCTCTCTGTAGTTATGGGCCAAACTGGGTCTATTCTGTATGACTTTTACAAACTTTAATTAAAACGTATGATGCTGAACAGCTTTGTGATGTGTGCATTTTTATTTGAGGAATGTATGACAGTGTTTCAGGGGTCACTTCACCAAATATGTTCCAATTTAATCCTAATTTATCAAAAAGATAGGGGTGGACTGTTGGTCTGTGTGTTTTATTAGTGGGGTTTGTTGCAATTCAGTCTTAAACTGCACTGGGAAAAACTGACAGATTTACAGATGGCTCAGTTTACCTATGGTATTTAAAGCTGCCATCAATAATTCTGAGTTGAAATCAGTGTGGCCCAGCAGATGGAAGAAAGCCATGCTCATTTGATCAGACGGCACAGTTCATCTGGAACAATTCCTGATGCTGCAGACTGCTTCGTGCACTGTTATACACTCAAAACACCCAAACGTATGGTGGAACTGATGACTGGGGGTAGCCAGAGCATGTGTGTTGATACAAACAATGACTCACTGCTCAAATGTCAGTATGAAATAGAAAGGTATTTAAAATACAAACTGCACGTGCACGAAACAGCTGGTCTGTTTCTTATTTAAAGTGAATGAAGTTCTGTTGATGAATAACACACACCAAGTGTAATCTCAGGGTCAGATCAAGCTGATGGAGTCACACTTAAAAACACACACACCATCTGTTGGAGGACATCAATATCTAATCAAAGCTTTTATATCAGCACTAAAAGTGAACCGAGGGAGCTGCCAATGGATCTGCTCGGCCCCTGTGAGACAGTTATGACACTAAACCTCAGCAGATGGGACAGTTAACTTTATATAGACAGTTCAGCTAAGTATCTGTTGGACAAAACCCACTACATTGAAAACACTCCTGAGAAATAAACAGAACAATTAGCTTTCAAATATGTACACCACTACTGCTGGCATGCCTACCACCCTATTATTATTAGTACTGATACTACTACAGAGCGCTAACATACTGGTATTCTGCTACTATACTATACTATTATCTACAGTATTATTTCTACTATAACGATGGTTACTGCTGCAAGACCAACCATGCTAAACACTACTACTGTTCTTTGTATTGTCAGTTGATGTTTCCTGACAGAAGAACAAGTGATTTAGAATTGGATTTTTATTTATTCATATATTTTTGCCATGCCCCAGTCTTGGACAAGGGCAGATTTGTTTCATGATTTAGAAGATACTTTATTTATTTTACAGATAAGAGATCATGTCAGAATGTAAACAAAGTAGTCTCTAGAACTCACATCAAATGACTTTAAATATATTGGTCAATTTAAGTCACATGTCTCCCCAGTGCAGTAAATGATAACACAAGACCATCTAAGAAACATCCTAAGGGGTTTCACATTCATCAAGCTCACAGTGTTTGACTTTTGAAAACAGCCTAACATCGTGGAAATGTTATGTGATGACTTTATTGATGAGGAGTACCATGTGCTTCAGAATCAGAAGACAACCAAATTTTATTTTACGCATATTGAGGCTAATTTTTATAATAAGAATAAAGTAAGATTTTTAAGTTAAAGGGCATGGGAAAGGTCAAATATCTATTAAAAGGTTTATAAATAATCAGCTTTGTTTGTCATGTATAATTCTTAACATTTTATTTTTGGTGCAAATGCTTTGTTTGTTTCCTTTCATTTATTTGTAACTCTTCTTTGAGATTTCCTTATTTCAAGCCTTTGTGTTCATATACAGTAAGGGCCAAAAGACTGGCAGCTCTATCTGCTTCAGCCTGTTATTAGTTTCTGAGTTCCTGCTCCCACAAATGTATTTATTTATTCATAGCTGTTAGGCCAACCTGGGTGTTTTGTCAGATGTGCAAAACTTTTCCTCAAAACAAAAAGAGAAGATCTTATTGAAATATCAATTTTTCAGATCACTGAAGGATTTTTAACTCAGCTCAGACACATTGATAAGTTCTCTGGCATTAGCTTCTTCATTTCAGGTCCTACGATAGCATCTCAAAAGGGTTCAATTCAAACAACATGGGGTTCAGAGTCTTGTCGAAGGACACGTTTCAATGTGGAGACCAGGAAGTGAACTGCCAACCTTCCAGCTAAGAGACAACCACTCCACCTCCTGAGCCACAGCCACCTGAGAAAGGAGAGCCAGAGCAAAGTGCCCCATCACAACCCTCAGTCTGGCAGGATAAGAAGGTGAAGAGTGGAAAAGTGAGTGATGAGTCAGTCAGCTGGGGATAAGTGGAGTAAGGGGTGGAAAAAAATTATAGTTCATCAATAGGTAGCATTCTTAGACTTTTATAAAAGAAAAAAATAAACAAAAAACTTGCAATAATTTGGATTAAAAAAATTACTTTACTTCATGACTTTTCATCCACCTTCCACCAGCAGTGCAAATATTTCAATTCTCAACAACAAAATGTGATACAGACATTTATGTTTTCCAGCATATCCTGAAAACAATGAAGCCCCAACTTTTTCTAGCATCATTGTGAGGCTGATATTTTTGATACAGTGTTGTCCACAATCATTAGATGGATTGCCATAACCTAAAGTTTTGTACAGTCATTTCTGCTCCTGGCATGAATTCTAATAATTATGTTATGTCTTAGTCTTTTGTATAGCCTTCTCATTAGATCAAAATTTCAATTTGTCCAACACTCTGGTTTATGACAACACATTCCCATCATCCTCAGCGATCACTTTAGTATTAAGGGCTAATTATCAATGATAGCATGTTTACATTTTAATCTAAAATGGGTAACATGGTCAAAACTATACCTGCTAAACATCTGCTTAACATAAATGTTGTGAGCATGTTAGTAGTTACATTAGATTTCAGGATTTCTCCATTTGCAGATAACAGTGTTCACTGTGATTCAGCACAATCCCAGTGCCTTAGAAATGACTTTGTAACTCTTTTACAGACCAATGCTCAACTTTTATTTTATTTTAGAATTCTTTTTGAGAAGGGAATCATTTGACTGTAGGGACTTTGTGTGGCAGCTATATTCGGTGAGGTTTACATTGAGCAGGACTGGAATCAATCTGTTCAGCAGAATATAATTAACTGTTAGGGTGCACTTGAACACAGAGTGAGCCAGCAGATAAAAAGCGGACCCAGGTGGCTGGCTTCGGTGCAAGCAGTGAGGTTTATTTACAGTGAAGGTAGTGACATATATACAGGAGGAGTAATGAGGTAGATGACCGGGTGTCGATCAGCAGCAGCAGAAAAACAGTCAGTGGTATGGTGGATGATGATGTACCGGGCTGCGGACGCAGAGGTCACTCCTGGGCTGGTCGAGGTGGAGGTGATGATGGCTGTAGACAGAAGAGCAGGGATAAACTGGGTAAGGGAGACTGTGCATCGACCTGGGAGGCGGTGGCTGGTGGTGTAGATTAAATCCAGGGGGGTCCAGAGGAGAGGTCCGAAGAGGAAGAAGACACTAGAGACGGCAGGGCAGGATAACGACTAGGGTGCTAACAAGGACTAGAGAGAACAAAGACAATCTTAGCATAAACTTGATAAAACAACATGACAACCACTGGCCTGAAGACAGAGAAAGAACTGGCAGGGGAGTGACTGGTGAACAGTGTATAAGTATGGAGGAGACTAATGAGGTGCAGCTGGTGAGTAATCAGGGAAGCAGGGCAGGTGTGTTGAATAGTGTAATCAGTGCAAGGGCTAGGCTAGTGTGAGGAAGAAGAAGAGAGGAAGGTGGAGCTGGGCAAACCTGACATTAACAATCAAAGCAGCTTAACTGATTGATGGCAGGACTAGAAGGGCAGATACTTTTACATGAAAGTTTGTTCCATAAGTAAATTATATAATGCTTTAAAATTGTGTGATGTGTTAACATGGATCATATTTGCCTGTTATTACATTATGTTTCTTGATCCCATACTAGTCATTGTGTCAAATATGCACTAATAGAAGATAAATGCTTTTCACTGCAGTGTCTAGTATCTGCACATAAATTGATCACTCAATAAATTATGTCTTCATTTATGGCCAAAATGACTATGCCATGTAGATATATTTCAGCTATTGTGACCATGATATGATCTTCATTAACCATAATTACCATCATCTGTTTCGATTAGAATAATGCTGAACCTAGCACAGTGGTCAGTTTAGTGATGTTGACATTATTAAGTCATAAAGCTTATTTAATATCCTTCTATCAAGCACTACACTGTTATGGTCACATTAAAACAATTAGCATAATTAGAAAATAACAAAGATGAGGTTTGCTGGTGACAGCGCAGGGTACAAATTGTTTTTTTTTTAAAATCCAGTCACTGTAGATTATATTCTAGCAGTGGGACACAAATGAAAACTGATTTTCTGCATTTCTCTACATTAAAAGCTTTCACTGGGTATAATTTGAGCCTACCATACTCAAAAGGAGTTACTTTTACAGTTTCATTTAATTACAGTATATGTAATTAATCATGTTAGTCTGTGCCCAGGGCAGCCATGTAGTTTCACTGTGGTGAGACTTGTAGTAATGTCATGAAAACAGTTTCAGAAACTAATAGTCACAAGTTTCATTACCAGCAGTCTATGTAATGTGTTTAAAGTATGCTGAGGTCTATATATTTAACTAGTTTGCATTATCATATTTTTATTCATTTAGGTCACTGATGTTAGCCATACTGTTTGTTATGAAGACGTGGTCTATGGTGGCTTTGAAGAGTGCTGAACTGATGATCACTGTGACAATGGAATAGAATAAAGCAGCATTTCTGCTCACAGTGCAAACCTGAACGATCAGTTACTGCATTCTGTGTCCGGCAGGTGGCAGCAAAACTCAGTATTTTGTTTGGACAGTGATACAGCAGTGGTATTATACGAATTTACATTGTTTCTAGTTTAATATAATTCGCCATAAACAGACCTAATCACAGAAACCATCACAAAACATGTCTGTACATATATTTTATGGCAATGCGAGTGTAGCCTATTTGAAATGTTTTGAGAAAAAAGCAATTTCCCCCTGGGGTCACAAAAATACCAAGTAAAGAGCCATGTCATTGTGTAGCCTAACAGTGGACCAACATCTTTTCTTAGCTGATTTGAATTTTTAGCCTATATAACTCTTATGTAAAAGCCTATTGCATTTGCGTTCATATTTCTCCAGGAATATAGAAATTCAGCGATATTTAGGTCTTATTTTCGGGATGTAAGCCGCTATTAAAGCCAAGAAAATGAACAGTTTTTCTATTGGCACCTGAAGGTAGCATATGAGTTCACGCCCTCGAAACCCCTCCTCCCACAGAGACTAAATATGTGAGCTATGTGGCGTTACAGCCTCATTGTACTAAGATCTGGATTTATGGTTGCGACACATCTGGCCATTACCTGCTTTTTCTTTGTTTGTGGTAACTTTCATTAAGGTAACTGCTTTTTTTTGTTCCAACACATTGTAGCCTACTAAAACTGTAATGACGTAGCTGTCAAGCAGATTTACAGGAGCTAAACAATATTGCGCTACTAAGTTTATGAATATATTGTGTAATTTATGTTGTTGCCCATACCCGGTTTATTCAATGTGGCGTAGGTATTTGTGTATATAGCTGGCATGGTGCGTTCACTGCAGATTTAACATGAAACGAATTTAGATAGCCTGGTTTGTTTTCTTCGGCATCAGAAGTTAAAGGACATTATGATGATAAGAACAGTGAGCTACTCACCCATTTGACAATATTAATATTTTCATTAGCTAACTAGTTAAAAACACACCCAAAGCCAAATTAGCAGCCCAAGAAAATGAAGGGCAGCACAGAAAAACATGTTCTGAAACAAATGTAACATGTCACAACATTTACAATGTAATATTCAATAACAGGTTGACGCTATGTATTTCAGTGTGATTTGATATCCAGTATGCAGCTTGAAATCATTTTAATAACAAAAATGTGTTTAATGTCAAAGCTTTGTTATAGATGCAAAACAAATTTTTTTTTAACCTTCAGCCTATTAAGAAATCTAAGTGATACACTTGGTGGAGTTCTCAAAGGTCAGAGAGGTCATATTGTAAACTGACTATAGTCATTTGAAAACCATATGCAACTAGGATAGTGCCAAGGAAAAAATTACTGAATCATATACTGTCATCTACACAGGCAAACTAAATGAAATTATTATCAAGGTTTCTCATCACAGCCAATCCCTGGGGCACTGCAACGGTAATGTTAATGGTCTCTTGTATTTGGTTGTGTTCCACAGTTTCTAATTCAGCTGGGAGGAGGGCTGAGTAATTCAAAGTTTTAATAGTTTATACTATTCTGTTTTCGTTTCACTTAATTGAGAATCACAGCATTTACTAATTTAATCTACAACGTATGATATCACAGCAAAGTGATCCCAAAGTGGCTGTTGTGGCCTAGAGATGTGGTTTTCAAGTTACAATATACAATATACAGATTCTTTCTTCTGGATACATTAGCATCTAAAACTAATGCATCTATTTTGGTAATATTAGTTACCTACTATTGTCATGATTTTACCTTTGTGTTGAATTAATGTGATTTTAAGAGTAATTTGAGTTTTGTGGAATGCTAGCGCTTGGTGTCACATTTCCACTCACCAGTGTTCTACTGGACTAACACATTTACTCGCTCTAGCTAGCTTCAAACTGGATTTTGTAGTGTGTTGCAACCAGGCATCTAGTTTATATTGTTGCTAGAAAACAGGACATGATGGGAGGGGCAAAGAGTGGTCAGGAGTGGCTGAAAAGAATTTAGCATAGGTAGAGTATGACAAGAGGTCACACATATTTAATGGAAAGTTTTTAAACCAGCAATTAATGAGCCATTGATGTGCCTTTTGAACAAGGCATTTACACCTGTTTTGCACTATGTTTATGGTTATAAACATTTACAGCTGACACATTCTCCATCTGGAAATATGTGTTAATATAAATTAAGAAGGGTATTGGTGAAAAACATTACTGCTCAATGTCATGGTCATCTTTTCTTTGTGAATAAATAATGAGGAAATCTTTTCTTAAGTTCAGATGAGGATATATTGAAGCAGTTGGAGGCACAAAAGACAATTAACCCTGCCTCAGGTAGTTTACCTTTTCATATCTTCTGTTAGGACCAAACACAATGCCAAACTGGGGAGGAGGAAACAAATGCACAGCATGCCGTGGGACGGTTTACCACGCTGAGGAAGTGCAGTGCGACGGGAAGAGCTTCCACAAATGCTGTTTCCTCTGCAGTAAGTGTGTGGATGCAGCTGTACCACCAACACTTCGAGACTAAGATCAAGTTTGAAAGACGGTATTTGCAGTTGTGTATGAATTAGCCTACAAACTAAATACATTGCTGCTTTCAAAGCATACCACACATTTTTATAATGATTTCCCACACCCAGACAGTCACAGACATCGGTGCTTTTATGTAATTGTTGTCAAAAAGGTACTCCACTTATGTTACAAATGAAGAGCTGTTTCCTTTGTTATGAAGACCATAGCATTTACCAGGCATGGGAGGTCTAATGAAGAGATGTTATTAAGATGCTTCATGGAAAAGATCCAGCTTTTAAAAGCTGACTTATGAGAGCCATCTCTTAATTGTAATCTGACGTTCTCCTTTGGAACTACAGTATGTGTTGCCAGCAAGTTTCAATGTAATTATTTTATAAGACCTACCAAGAGCAGATACTGCATCAACCTGCACATATCGCTTTATTTATGACATGGTTAAAGACATTTATTTGTCTGAACCTGGTGTTTTATCTTTTAATTTCAAGCTGCAGAGAGTCACAGCGTATCATTTAAGCAAAACAGGGGTGAGTGGGCAGGAAGCTTGGTGAACTCTGTTTCACCTCTCCACAGCATATCAAAGAATGCTTGCACTGACATTTCTGTCAATGGTCATCGGTTGTTGAGTTCACACTACATTATTGTCAGTTTGTTGGATGAGTAGGTGGCTTGTCCTGCCCCTCACCCCTCTTCGAAATGTCAGTGATGATGTTCCATGGAAGATCTTATCGTGAAACACTTTGACTTCGCTGCTATTAAGACAAGACCAAAGCAATTTGAGCCACAAGAGATGAGTTTATTTTCTCCAGTGATTTTGTTACAAAGGCAGCCTTGTCCCACTGAAGAGATGATGAGCAAGGGGACTTGGTGTCTTTGGCTCTCTTTCATAGTCTATGACATTCAGCACTTTTTCATGTCTGTGGCATCTACAGAGCCTCATATGACTCCCCTTACAGGGGTTTTGTCTTTGTTATTTGTTTATTCTCAATGCCAGTGGCAACACAAAATGAATGCTGTAACTATATTGGAGGTGAACTGGAAATGCTCGTGACAAAAACTCAGAGAATCCAGAACAACTACTACAAAGGTGGTTAAGAAAATACAAGGATTTGGCAGCCATTTGATTGGACACACAGAAATCCTCTAACAAATTTTTTGTAAAAATGTTTTGGCCACAAGAGAAAGGGGGGTGTGAGTGGAAACATTTTTTCCAGCCATTTGTGCGAAATCCTCCAGCAGTTTGAGACAGTCACACAGTGTAGACCAGTGTTTGAAGAATTCAGCTAATTCTAGCAGCTAGCAAGCAATACAAGTACAAAAGGTTAAGCCACTGTGATGCTTTTTAAAAAACTTATTTTTACTTTGCACACCTGTTAAAGTTTTTCCCCAACAGCTACTCTATAACATTGAAACATTAATAAGCCCAATACTGGCATCAAAAAATCAGTTATGATGATGAATATCTGGATAAAAATGGAAGAAATAAAATGTAGCCTCAATGCTAAATGCCTTTCCCTTTTCTGCATATTAAGATGTTTTACTTTATAGCCTTAAACTAATTGAACATGCAGTTGGAACAAAAGGAATGTGACAAAAAAGTCCCAAAGTTCTACCAAAAGATCTTCCTCTTAGAAAAACAACAACAACAAAAAATATAAAGAAGATACTTGCTGCTTTTGAGATGAAAATTATTTTCTCCCTGCTGGAAAAAAATCATGTGCCGCTCATTAGAGAGAGTTAACATTAACCAGATGTATGTGTTGGACTGGAAAAGCCAAACCTTCCTAAAGAAAAATTAAGTGGGCTCACACTGAAAATGTGCATCTGAAAGTTGAAATACTCAAAGAGGTTGAAATGACAGTTCCAGTACAATGAGAGATGAAATGGGAGTTAAACATGAAGGGCTGAAAGGTGATTTGGCTTAGGTTTAAACACTGCATTAAGGTAAACTGAGGCATTTCAGGTGTAAAAACGGTTTCTTCTAATGTTTCATTTTCACATTTTCAGCAGGTAGTCATTTCGCTGTATCGTATTTCTCCTGAAACTAAGAGCAGACACAATTTTGGCAATGTTGTGATCACAAGAAGATACTGTATTTCCATGTTAGCTGACAAAATAACTGCAGCTCTTCTCTCTGTGTGTGTCTTCAGTGGTCTGCAGGAAGGGCTTAGACAGCACCACACTGGCTATTCATGACCAGGAGATCTACTGCAAGTCATGTTACGGGAAGAAGTACGGCCCCAAAGGCTATGGCTATGGGCAGGGGGCAGGGACACTCAACATGGACCGGGGAGAGCGGCTGGGAATCAAACCTGAACAGTAAGCTGGGATAATTGTTAAATGATGTATTTCAAGGCTGCAAGATGACTGTACAGTATTGAGGTGCACTAAATCCTTCAGTAGCGTGAGGATTGGGTGATACACAGGAAGATAATCCAACTTTCTAACCCATCACTTTCACAATATAACCAAAACAAATCTTCCTGGAAAGCTGTAATGCTACCTCAAAAATAAGCTGCATCACCAAGACAAACACCAATCAGCACTAAATAGCTTGAAGAGCCCATGCCATGCTCATTTTCAGCCATTTAATGTTTAATCTTGGGTACCTCTAGATTAGCTTGGCACCCCTCTTAACTCCAAATAGTCTATCATTTTTTCAGAATAATAAAACCAAAAAACCTCTTCCTAAAAACGAGAGGATAGTAGTGAATGTGCACAACTCCTGCTGCTGGTGTTGTCACAAGTGGACAGCACAACGAATTGCGACGGCATTAATTAATTTGAATTTCTCCTCCGTAGATAGGTAAACAACGGTATATGTACCGATGAAAAGAGATTTGTAACACTCGTATGAATGATCTTATAACAGACATGAGATGTACCCATGTATATGACAATGTACTGTGGAAGCCTGGAAACTGGAAGGAAAAGAGAACTTCACTTTCAAGAGTTGACAGCCAGGGAAGAAGCAGGCTGTCTCCATCCACAGATCAGCACTGTAATTGGCCTAAACACTCCATTTCATTCAGCTTCTTATTTGCTCATCTGCACTCTACTACTTTAATTTGGTGTGACTTCTGAATTTAGGTTCAAATGTATCTCCTCTTCACTCACTCCATTCTCTGCCTGTTCTCCTCCATGCTCTCTTGGTTAGCTGGCCCCGGCTCCTGCTCCCAGGTGTGGCTCATTTAACTCCTTCACCTATCCTACTTCCTGTCTCTGTAGGTGCAACAGCTTTTCCTTTCCTCCTTCTGCCACACCTCAAGCCACTTTTACTCATAATTATCATACCCATCATGGAGCCATTTCTTAAGCTGTGTGGGAATGTTAAAAACCTACCGTAGGTGTGTGCATCCTTACCCTACAGTATATGCTGATGTTCAGAATTCTGTTGTGCTTCTTTCTTCTTCTTTGTTACTTTTGCTGTGCTTCATCATAGCTGTGTTAACATCTGTTCCAGCTTTGCAATGTTCCATCTGACACAATAATTAAAAGTGGATTTAATAGTAACAGCAGTGCTGCTAGTCATTGTGAAAAAGTTTCATAGTTTTACCAACACAGATGACATCTTAAAATGTCTAAGGATCATTTGTCAGACCTAATTACATGCATGGTTGCAGTGAGGCTGACAAGGTCAGTGAGTTCACTGGTACATTATGTATAGTTATGTTTATAAGTTGTAGCTGCTGACTGACAGTGCTGTTATCTTCAGACAGTGGGTATTCATACTGCAGAACTTGAAATGATCCCAAATCCATAAACTTGGAAAATAGAAGAGTTCTCATAGCATTCTTGAAAGCTGATGATAAATACAGATGTTCAAAATGCCTAAAACACTAGACAGATGTCAGTTATAGTTATGATCAGCAGCCCTGATGTTTGTAGGAAATTTCAGCAGGCCAGATACACAACGCTGGAGTCCCCCAATTTAAAGATGTCAAACCTGTGAATGAAACCCTCTGTTCCTCATTGCCTGCACCACAAAGCCTTGAGAGATGAGTGAAACCTTGATGGAAATATTTGCAAACATCATTCCTCTTGATTAAACCCAGCTTGCTTGCAGCAGCTCTCAGCTGGTTTGGTGAGCAGTGGTGAAACATCAAAGCTCAAGTCTGAAATTCACAGAGTTTAATACATCAGCTAATAAATGAGGATCACTGATTTCCAACAGCCTGTCGAGGTTCTGGATTGGGACAGGGCCACTCATAATGCAAAAATATACCCACTGAGGTGAAGAGAGAGCTCGACTGCATATCTGTAACCTTGTGGGTACCGAAAACAAACAGGAAGACACAGCCCCATACACACTTACTCAGGATGTTTATTCCAGCCCCAGACATCAGGTGATTATTGTCCTGAAAGAGTTTATTATGAAGCTAACAGGATCAAATTCACACTCTTCTCTGTCTGCCATTACAAAGGGCTTCATACAGGGGCCAGTAGGGCTGGCAGTCACCCTTTGTTAAGCGTCACTCCTGGGCCCCAGGGACTGAGGACAGAGACAGTAGAGGAGTATGAGGAGTGCCAGGTTGATTTCTGGACTGTTTGGCTTTTGAGAATATTCTGGTAATAATTAATAAAGTTGTGTCCACAGATATTAGTTAAGCATGATTTAATGTTTGTTTAATACTTAATAAATGTTTACTCAGTATTTCTAATTTATTTCTTAAGACAAGAGGATGAACTTGTTTTCAATATTCTTTCATTCTGTCAAAATGTAGCCTGTTTTAGCTAGGAACTCTTAGCCTCTTCAGCCCTTAAAATTTAAATATGATTCACTTTAATCTTTGTTTGTTTCATTCCAAAATGAAAACTCCGCTCTACTCAGTAATGTACTTGAAATACTTTTCAAAGGGTCACGCCATCATCTACGGACTGGTGAATTTTTCATGGAGAGAGTTCGTCATATCCTTGTTTGTCGTTTTCCCCAGAGCCCAGACTCACAGACCCACCTCTAACTCCAACCCATCCAAATTTGCTCAGAAGTTTGGAGGCTCAGAGAAATGCGCCCGGTGTGGAGACTCAGTCTATGCAGCTGAGAAGATCATGGGGGCAGGCAAGGTGAGTGTTTCATCTGATCTAATACCACAGACCTAAACATGAAGCTGTTGTGTGAACCCAATGGTCTTGAAATTGAATTTTCAAATGTGTAGTGAGCATTGAACTTTACACAGCTACTATTATTATATAGCGAGTTAGCATGAACCTGTAATCCAGGCTGTCATGGCTCCCTGAGTGCCACAAGCACAACAGACCTACAGTCTACATCACATACCACAGGGGTGAAGCTTGTTTAATTGGATTGAATAGTTGTGTGTGTGTGTGTGTGTGGTGTGTCCTAATGAGAGAACACAAACTGTTTTTCTGATTGAAGCCATTCCATAAAGTTAGGATGGGATCTCCCTAACAGCTGGTATTAATCGTGCAAGTCTGCTTGGACATGGGGGTTCTGGCACACAGATTTACAGTCGATTAAGTCATGTGGCTTACACTCCCAAGATGTACCAACAGGATGTTTTTGTTCTGAAAAAGAATCTCAAGAGTAGTGACTCGCATAAAAACCTGTCCACAGAGGAGTAAAGATTTGTGTTCAGAGGATTTCTGTTTCCTCTAAAATTGGGACTTTCCTGCCACTGATTGCATGTGGATTCATGTATGAACAGATTTACATCAGGTGATGTCACTGTGCTGTGTGCTGTTAATGTTTCCTAACGAGAAAGGTGGGAAAACTGAGTTGCTACAATGGAATACATTAAAGGAAGTGATGCATGTCTTAAGACATATCTGCAGCTGTTAGCTGTACAAAAAAACCTGCACACCATCGGTTTTTGTTGGATATTGATATTAACACTGCACAACCCTGCACAACAGCTTAACCTAGATTTAGCATGAAAGCATGAAGACAGACTTATTTATTAGTTTCACTTTGTCTTCTCATAGCCGTGGCATAAGAACTGTTTCAGATGTGCAAAATGTGGCAAGAGCCTGGAGTCGACCACCCAGACTGAGAAGGATGGCGAAATCTACTGCAAAGGTGAGATGGAACTAAATGTGTTGCAATAAAATGTTGCTATTACACCTATCGATTGAGACTTTCCCCAAAGTTGCAGAAACTAAAATAAGGTTTGTTTGGCCTTCCCATGTTTGCAGATCTCTAATAGGCGAGACTGACCACTCACTACAGCACTAATAAATAATAAGTTGCCTGTGCAGCCCAAGTGACTTTTTTTGGTGATGCATGGCATTTTCCACAGAATATGAATTGGACTGACTTTGGTGGTCCCCTAACACTTCCCCTAGCACCGTCACCAGCTCAAGGTTTCAGTTCAGTACTGTGGTTTATGACCAAATACTTTCAAAACTGTACTCTGTTGTGCTAATTGCTAAATGTTAGCACGCTAACCTACTAAACTATGAACGTGATGAACATTGTACCTCATTAACTTCAGCATGTTATCATTGCCACTGTGAGCACTCTAACAACAGTTAATCACTACTTGCAGTTGATGTGGATTAAAAACACCATACAGAGACTGTTTCACCCACCGTCATTCCATGTGGTGTATTGGTTTGGCCTTGTCACGCTATCAGAGCTGTGTGACATCCACAGTGATTTCTCTCTCCTCATCAGCACAATGAGATGAAATGCCGCAGCTAAACAGAAGATAGAGGCATAATGATACATACTGGCAGACAGACAATAACAGAGCATCAGCAAATGGATGTTTGCTGAATGGAATAATGAAACCTGTGTACTGATGAGCAAGAATGATCTATCTTGGCTCAGGCCAGCCCCTTGCTGCTGCTGCTGCTATCAGTGGTTCTGTATCCCATTGTTGTCTGTCCTCTAATGAACTCGTCCTGATTGTATCAGAGCAACGGCCGGATACAGTTACTCCCATCATAAACATTTCAAAGACAATGTAGACAGCAGGCCTGAGATGTAGCATATGCAAAAGAAAGCTGAAGTACTTCCCATCATAGCTGTTGTCTGAAATTCTGCACTTCAGTGTTTGACCACAACCTGAGCTGTGAGCTTTTCTTTTTTTTTTAAGACTTGACATGTTGATTTGAGTGTTGGAGCTGGAAAGTCTTCAACTACTGTCTTTTAAAGAACCCACACAAACACACAGGTATTGAAGGTGGACACAGGAGATGCAAGGGGGATGAGGATATCATTTGGCCTTTTTCGCAAAAACACAATTTGAAAAGCACAGTTGTAAATAAGATTTAAAAACAGAATTAACGGTGGTTGTATTCCAGGTAATAACATTTGAGTAGAACAGGCTGTCGATGTTATTAGTGACACCTGGCTGTAAGTGTCGCTGACTAAATATTAAAGGGACATTTCACCTAAAACATTAAAATATAGATCCTCTTACCTGGAGCGCTGGAACACTAGCGATAATTGGTTGGTGGTGCTCTATGTGCGAAAGTCGCATTAAAAATGAAATATTTAAAAAGCTCTACAGCACCTTATTTGGAATGATGTTTTATTTCATAATTTCTTTTTCTTTTTTTTTTTTAATTGAAGTTTCCAGGTATCAAATGCTGTCCTTTTACTTCAGTTTATTAGTCATTAAAGCAAAGTTACAAAATGCATTTTGGGGACAATAAAATGTATTTTTTGTTCATGTTTATTCT